GTAACCTTTTAGATAAAATTCAAGAATTTGAATTTATCTTTGTGTTGCATTTGATGTTCAAGATGTTGCTTCTTACAAATGAATTGAACCAAGCTTTACAAAAGAAAGATCAAGATATTGTTAATACTATGGGATTGCTTAATCTTTCAAAGAGAAGATTACAAACAATGAGAGAGAGTGGTTTGGAGTCTTTGATGGATGAGGTTTCTTCATTTTGTGGTAAACATGATATTTTGGTTCCCGAAATGACTGAAGACTATCCAAGATCGAAGCGTAAGAAGTCCGAAATTTCATATTTACATCACTTTCGTGTGGAAGTGTTTTATGCAGTTATTGATTTGCAACTTCAGGAGCTCAATAATCGTTTTGATGTTATGACTAATGACTTACTCCTTGGCATGGCTAGTTTGAATCCGGTTGATTCATTTGCTAATTTTAGTAAGAGCAGAATAATGAAGTTGACCGAATATTATAAAAGTGAGTTTGGTGATAATGAACTTCGAGATCCCAGTTATCAGCTTGATAGTTTCATTGTCTATGCTCGAGAGTGTGATAGTAAGTTTCTCAACTTGAAGGGGATTAAAGATCTTGCTACGATGATGGCACAAACAAAATTGGATCAAACTTGGTCTCTTGTTTATTTGCTTGTAAAGTTGGCTTTGATTTTGCCTGTTGCTACGGTAAGTGTGGAAAGAGCATTCTCCTCAATGAAGCTCATCAAAAATGATCAACGTAATAGCATTGGTGAAGAATTTTTGAATGGCTGTTTAGTTTGTAAGATAGAGCGGAAGATATTTGAAATGTAAGTAATGATGCTATTATAGATCGTTTTCAAAATATGAAGTCTCGTCGAGTACAATTGTAAACTAATGATATTTTTTGTGGTAATGTAATTTTTATGTATTGCTCGCTTAGTTATTGTTATTATAAATTTTTTGATCTTACCTTTAAAGCAATGGTGCACCCGTTATCTTGAAATCCTGGATTCGCCTCTGCTTGCAGGATTAAAAAGTTGAAACATGAGTTGAATAAGTCTTTTGCTATAAAAGACTTGGGACCAGCAAGACAGATTCTTAGCATGCAGATTGTCCGTGATAGAGATGCTAAGAAATTGTGGTTGTCACAAGAGAAGTACATTCAGAAAGTACTTCGTAGATATAACATGGACAAAGCTAAGGTTGTCAATACACCTTTAGCTATGCACTTCAAATTGAGTACTAAGCATTTGAGAAGGAAGATATGAAGAAAGTTCCTTATGCTTCAGTTGTTGGTAGTTTGATGTATGCAATGGCGTGTACAAGACCAGATGTTGCTCATGTTGTTGGTATTGTTAGTCGTTTTATTTCTAATCCGGGAAGAGAGCATTGGAATGCTGTAAAGTGGATTATGAGATATCTTTGTGGCACTTCTAGTCTGAGTTTGTGTTTTGGTACATGGAATCCTATTCTTTGTGGTTATACTGATTCAGACATGGCCGGTGATGTTGATTCTCGTAAGTCTATTTCAGGCTACTTGATTACTTTTACAGGGGGAGTTGTGTCTTGGCAATCTAGGTTGCAAAAATGTGTTGCTTTATCTACTACAGAGGCTGAGCTTATTGCAGCTGTTGAAGCTTGCAAATAGTTGATCTGAATGAAGAGATTTTTAAGGGAACTTGATTGTGCTCAAGAGAGGCATGTGATTTATTGCGACAGTCAAAGTGCTATTCATCTTGGCAAAAATTCTACATTTCATGGTCGGTCTAAACACATTGATGTGAGGTATCATTGGATTCGAGATGTGTTGAATTCTAAGTTGCTTGAACTTGAAAAGATCCATACCAATGATAATGGTTTCGACATGATGACTAAAGCTTTGCCAAGAGAGAAGTTTGAAGAATGTTGCATGATCGCCGGGATGGCGATTTCCTCCACATAGTCGGTAGGTGGAGAATTGTTGGGTTTTGGGCCTTTTTTCCCTTCCTATGTGGATAAATAAAAATTCAAGGTTTTGGATCTTCCTTCCTTTCCTTTGTGGATAAATTTAGCCCAAATTTGACTAGCCCACTTTTGCCCATAAGCCCAATATTATGGTGCATATGTAAGACTTTCTTTTAGGTCTTATTTGAGAGAGATCGCAAGAGTTTGAGAGCAGCCATATAGAGAGAAAAGTGAGAAAGTACAAATTTTCGCACAAGCCCTAGCATCCAATTTCAAATCGCGATTCCCGCTTCGTTTCTTATCCGATTGAGTTGATTTTTGAACAGCTTGTTCCTTTCAACTTGATCTTTGATTGGGAACTGAGAGAGGGTGATTTGAAGTCCTGTAGCTCCAGATTCTTAGCTCGTGAACAGTAGTTGCGGTTTGTTTTTTTGCTTCTCTTATTTCTCTAGTTTTTTGGTGCTATCTTGTAGTTGTGTTGCTCATTGTTTGACACTTTGTTAGTGGCCATTTTGGAGAACACTTTTGTAACTCTTTTTGATTTTAGTGTAGCTTTGGCCTTATGGTTTTTACTCTTCACACCGAAGAGGTTTTCTACGTTAAACTTTGGTGTCTCGTGTGTTGATTTATTTTTCTTGCTGGGTTGATTTGTTTGCTGCCCAAACAGTTTGTTCTTGCATTATTTTGTCTTCTCTTGGTTCAAATAGAAGGGAAAGTTTTGACTTGAATTTTCTTCCGCTATAGCCCTGGCCTGTCGTTCATATTTATTTTGTGCTTGCCTTTCCTAACAGTAAACTAGTAATGAATCTCCATGGTGATCATGAATAATGATTTGAGATGAGGTATGCATGAGCGAAATATGGTTGCATTTTTGAGAATTTCACCAGATGAATCCTTTATGTCATGAAATTTCAAACAACATACATTTCAATCCTAATTCAAAGGAACGAGGTGCTTTTATCTAAAGACATAACTTTAGTGATATAAGTTCAGTAACAAAGTTATGCCTCATGGCAAAGTTCTCTAAAAGTTCTTACTAAAAATCTTATGCCCAAGAGAAACATTCTATAAAAATTATAATGGTCTAACCCATCGGTGACCCTTTAAAGTTGGCATCATGTTTCACTTAAATACCTTAACTGGGCAATTTCATTTTAGGTACTTCATGTAGGATTAGGATTTTGCTGTGTCATTTTGACACTTTTTGCTTACATGGGGCATAATGAGTGTATCACACTTATTGTTGGGCATGTGAAATGGTTTTTTAATTAATTTTCAATTCTTTTTTTTGTTCGTTCTTCCTCATTTTCAGCCATCATTTTGCCCAAGTTAAATTTCATCCATCATAAATGAACAAAATGACGGAGTGAATTTCTTTTTAAAAAAAAATTGAACTAGCAAAGATCTTCCATTCACTATCAAGCAATTTATTAGGAAAAAAAAAGAAAGCGATCATAATGTTTTTTTGTATAGAACGGATTTTCTGCAAAAGGTATTTGGAGCAGGAGGCGGCGCGAGGATGGGTTTGCAGCACACAATCATGAGGAGGATTGGGGTTTCTTTTTCGGGAGGTGGGGGAGGGGGGGAGGAAGGAGGAGGCTGGGTTTTTGGAGAAGACAATCGTTGTGGGGTGGTGGGGGTTGCTTTTATTAAAAATAGTGTCAAAATGACACAACATAACCCTACATGAGGTGTCTAAAATGAACATCGCTCAGTCAAGATGTCTAAGTGAAACTAGTGTCAATTTTAGGGGGTCACCGATGGGTTAGACCAATTATAATTAAGAATAATATGGCCTATAAGTTTTTATTAAATGAGCAATGGAAATAAAAATTGAAGACCACAATTTAGAGGACAAGAATTAAAAGAGGCAACTTCAAGAATAGCTAAGACTAGAAACACAATCAGTCAAAATACAATAACTTGCTTAATTATAATTTGTAGCGGAGAGAGATGCGAGCGAGATCGGAAAAAAGATGAGAGAGGCGAGTGAGGAGAGGACAGAGAGAAGCGAGATGTGGATTGTATTTATATATCTGGATAATTGTATATATATTGTAACTAGTATGTATATGTATCCATAATTATATTTTATATCTATTGGATAATTATATACATGTAATTAATATATAATGTATCAATGAATATAATTGTATTAGCAAATACAGTTAATATTCGAATACAATTTGTACCAATAAATAAATTGTATCAGCGGATACAATTGAATCAATTTTGTATCAAGTTCAACATTTGTATTTGTATAATTAATTATCATCATTTATATTAATGTGTATCAATTGTATTGACGAACACAATTTGTATCCCAATACAATTTCTATCAATGAATAAATTGTATCAGTAAATACAATTGTATCACGGTCGTATCAAGTTCAATATTTGTAATTATATAATTGATTGTTTACTTTGTATCAATGTTGTATTAGCGAATATATGTGTATTTGTATTTTGTATCACCAAAAAATGATTTGTATAGTTGACATTTATCATTTGTATTTTTACAATCGAATGTTAATATTTGATTTATATAATCAATTGTTATCATTTGTATTAAGAAAAAGAGACAAAGATAGGCGCGACAGAGAGAAATGGCAGGGAGAGGAAATAGGCGAGTGAGAGTTTACATAGAGAAAGAGAGCGAGAGTGCACAAAGAGAGGAAAGAGGAGAGAGGCAAAGGAAAAATGGGAGAGAAATTAGCTACAAAGCCCTAACTATAATTATAAATTGTAATTCTTTCAAATTATAGTGGTGTATTCTTGTATTGTTAATACATATCACACGTTTGCCTAATTACATGATTTGTCTCAAATTAAAAAGGGATTATTAATCAGAATAAAAACATTTAGCCTATAGTAGGTACTATAGCCACACTTTTCCCAATTTTTGCTATTAATTTGATTTGTATAATTCTAGTTTGAGAAAATGGTCTAAAAACCCTCCAATCTATACCAGAAATTCCAACTACACACTCCAACTTTACGGGAGTCCTATCACCCACCTGAATTGTTTAAAACTGTAATAATTACACCCCTAAAACGCCATAACCAAATCTGTGTTGGCCTGTGAACTTCACGCGTTTTACAGGTGAAAATTCAATTAATTAATTATTTTTTTTCAATTTTTTTATAATTCCTTTCCACTTTTTCCTATACTCTCCCAATTTCTTAAAATCTCTAAGGTAATTTCTTCCCCCAATTCTTTCAAATTCCTATAGAATTATGAGGAACAAAGATGAATATTGATAGCGGGAGCTTGTCAAGCAATATTCGAGTTTTGCTTGTCGGAGAACATTGAAAAATAATCTAAAAGGATCGATCTGTTTTGCTTGCTTCGCCGGAGCTTGTTGGTTGGAGCAGTGCAGCCGCAAGGTTTTGTTGTTGTTGTTGTTGTCAATCTTGTTGTGAGAATAGAGATAGGTCTTTATGGTGGTTGTCTCGAAATGGGAGAGAGATAAGAGGAGAGAGGAAGAGGAGAACGAGGCTTTGTTGGTGGTTTGGATTTCGCCGGAGGCGGCGACAGTGGTGGCTGATGGTCGAGCAGCAAAAGAGGGAGAACAAACGAAAGCACTAGCAATGCCATTAATGGAGGTCAATTGAGATTGAATCCTTTCATTGATTAATTGGGGAAGATGACTATTTTCTCGGAAATTTTCGTCAAAATTCACCTTCTAACGCGCCTAGAAAAGGTGAGAACACCTCCCATGACAGGTCAGCACTTAGGTGTGTATAAAATAGAGAATTATAAAGTTCAGGTGGGTAATAGGACACCCGTAAAGTTGGAGTGTGTAGTTGGGATTTCGGGTATAGGTTGGGGGGGTTTTAGACCATTTTCTCTTCTAGTTTTGATAGTATAAATTCAGAATTTTGTATATGCTTAATCTAACTATTTGTATACAATTTAAGAAAAATCCATAATAAATTAACCTGTTTGTATATTGGCAAGCGAAATATACAAACAGAGTTTTGGAATTTTTTTTAATGTATAAATACAAAATTTGTATGCATTTACCCTATTTGTATATTCGCAAGCGAAATATACAAACCACAACCTCCATAGCAAATAGAACTATAGCTGCGAAGCTCAATTATCGAAACTATAACTATAGAGCCTTATTATGTCTATTATGTTTGTTATTTCTAAATTTTTCTCAATTAAAATCACCTTTTTAGTAAATTTCAAATATGGGCCTGAAAAGATACCGCTGACAAAGAGCCCAGAATCCCGGCCCAGATATTTTGCGCACGACTACTTGGACCCAAAATTCCGAATCCAGCCCGCCAATTTAAAACGACACCAGAGTCTATCGAACGATCACCGCTTCCCGTCGGCGGCGAACTTCCGCGATCTCCTTCTCCGACGAAATTCTTGGATCTCTTTCTCCGGAGAATACTGTTTGTACGTTCCTCTCTTTTCTATGCTCTATATCTATCTCCATCTTCTCTTGTCTTCCAAATATATGTTTCTTATATGACCAACAAACCCTACTTTATTTTCACATGACTTGTAATGGTAGAATAGGAATTTTATGGTTTCAAAATGCTTCGTGTCTGCTTCTGCTGTATTAAGAAAGGCTCAAAATTTGATCTTTTTAGTTCTTTGTTTTGCTTGCGTGTTAATCTGCATTTTATTTACTTTCATGTGACAATTGGTACAAAGTTGTGGCCTTTTATTGATCCACTCTGAAGTATTATTAATCAATTTGATGAATATTGTGAATTTTGTACTTCTAACTTTATCCCATTTTGTGTGTCCATTTTTGACTGGTGTTTAAAGTGTTGGTCTGAAATATAAAAATCTGCAGTTTGGGTAAATTGGAAAGAGAGGTAAATGTTCCTGCAAAGACAACTTCAAGACACAACAAAATTAGTCATCGAATAATCATGTCTCAGTTCCATGTATGTCATAAATTATGGGAATTATAAGTTTAGACAAATGCTGTAAAAAAATCAATTTAACCAGACAGAGCTCTGTGATTGGGTAAACAAGAGTAGTTTTGATTATGTTAATTGCCTACATTGAATGGCTAACAAAAGAAGTCTGTCAAATAATTAGAAGTTTGCATATGATGGAGAAGGGTAGAGGGTCAGGCCCATTATCTGCTTACTTTTGAACCTTGCGCCATTGACCCCCGGTTATAAAAAAATTAGAAGTTAGTAAATGTTCATTCAGTCTATGATATTTAAATAATGATAAGGATTTTTTAAATTTTTTTTATAGAACACTAGTTACTCTTCTCTTCTGGATCAGTAAGACGGAAATAGACCTCAGACTTCACAATAAGAAAAGTTGCTTGTCCCATAACTTAAATTATAAATGGTTGATAATAATTCCCTATGTCCAAATTTTATGATACTCTTTCCATCTTGGGAGGTCCCCGAATATATGCCATTCCATTAGCATACCAGTGTCACAACCTTCAAGTTCTGAAATTCAGAATTATGATGTGATGTTTACTCTATCGACCTATTTTTTCAACCAATACTTTATTTTTCCACTATCACTAATATAATAGACAAACCAGTCTTTTCGTATTTAAGTGATAAAGATCAATTTGTGTGTGAGTAATCAAGATCAGTTGATCTAAGATGATCCCAACGGAGGCAAAAACACTAGGTGATTCTTCCATCTGTCTAAGCCTTGGTGGAGTTACCCGGTACCCAGTGGAACTAGATAAGGTGCACGCGCAAGCTAGTACGGACACCACGGTTTTTAAAAAAATAGATTAACTGATCTAAGATACCACTTAAATCTGGCCGATCAAAATGGACGCTTAAGATAATAGTTCATGAAATTAGTGCACGAAGAGACGAAGAGTCACATTTCCCTTTTTCTCAAGCTCAAGGTCAAATATGTGCAGCCGTGCAGGGTTTACTGTTTGTTAATTTTCCGATCCAAAATTTAAATCTCTCCTTTTCTTTTCATAACTTTTTTCTTCATAACTTGTGGTTTTTGAATCTGGATAATTTTTGAAATCTAATCAATCAATTGCTGTCATTGTTAATCCACCTTATGGATAGAACTGTGCTTGAGTTAAAGTTGGAGGTCCTTGCATAACTGACAAACTCTTGCTTCTTGTTGTAAGTGATTCATCAGGTGCGCTCCTTAAAGTTCTGCATATCTAAATGGACACACTTTCAACTGAAGATTCTATTATGAAGAGTGCAGAATTGATATCCAAGAAAAAAAGAAAAAGGGCGAGGCAGAAGGCTAACAGAAAGGTAAGACAGCAAAGGTTGGGTCAAATGCTGAAAAATCTGGAGGCTCCTAAAAGTGAAGAAAGTTCCGTTGAAGATGTTGCTAATTTAGAGAATTCTGAAGCACAATTGCCTCCTCTAGGACATCTGCAAAAACAAACAGAATCGACCACAACTCTTTTGGAAAGGAGTCCTGTTAAGAAAAAAAGAAGAAAGAAAAGAAGTGGGATGAAGGCGTTGGACAAAAAAGTTGACCCTTGTAGCATGGATCAGAACAATGTTCCCTCAAATCCAAGCCCGCTGGATAATAAGCATGGAGACGTAGAAAATGGCAATCCAAATATTTCCATTGAAGTCGTGGCTGGTTTAGAGAATTCTGATGCTCAATTGCTTCCTCTAGGACATCTAGAAATGCAAACAGAAGCGACCACAACTCTTTTGGAAAAGAGTCCTTTTAAGAAAAAGAGAAGGAAAAAAAGAAGTACGATAAAGGCGTTGAACAATTCAGAGTTAACCATGCAAGTTCAGTCAGCTCCCATAAGTCCAGATGATTTCTGCATGATGAGGGGTTCTCATTTGAAGAGAAAACTTCTCATCCTTGATGTTAATGGGCTACTTGCAGATGTAGTCCATCCACCGCCAAAAGATTGCAAGGCTGATGCATGTTTCGCAAGACGGGCAAGTGAGAATTGATGATTTACTCTTCATTTAATTGCTTAAATGACCTTTTGAGCTTCATTCACAAGATGAAGAAACACATGGTTCTTACACAAAAATACTTATCACTTTTGTTTGCAGTATTTAAGAGACCGTACTGTAATGATTTTCTGAAATTTTGCTTTGAAAGATTTGACGTGGGCATCTGGTCTTCTAGATCCAAGTAATCCTTGATGTTGAAATGCTTCTTGAGTTTATGTCGTTTTCCTGACTTGATCTTTTAGTTTACCCCAGTTAATGATTTAAGTTTTTCTAATGCATTTTATGGTTTACTCATAAACATTTACTGGAATGTATGTTTGTGCAGGAAGATCATAGTTAAAGTTGTTGATTATTTATTGGGAAACATGAAGCAAAAGTTGTTATTTTGTTGGGTAAGCATTCTTCCTTTCACAAATAGTTCCATATTGCTCCTCCTAGTTGCACTCTTAAATTCCTCTTCCAAACAGCAGGAAAGTGACAAACAGAAAAGCAAAGAAAAAGGAGTATGATTACCTATTGTTATTTTTCTTTGCTTAGGAAAAGATTCAATTTCCTTTGTGGTATTTTGGCCATGATCTACGCTGATGCTTAATGTTCTGTTGTGCTCTGCAAGATTGTCAGGTCTCTGATGGATCATTGTGATTTTTGCAATTCCTTTGCTAGCATTAGACTAATATTACCAAATGCATGAACACATGGGCTGTTTTTTCCCCTTTTGTACATAGGGTTTAGAATATATTATCAACTGCATGAACACATTGGTTGTTTTCCTCTATTGGAATGAAAGAAAGGGAATGGAAAGTTATATTTGACTTCCTTAGCCTAAAAAAAAAGTTATATTTGACTTCCTTCTTGTAACTATATTCATTTATATTGTTTTTCTATGCATTTTATCATTTATGTTGCTTGACCATGCCCTTGACAAGGACTGCGAATTGTGATATGGACCACCTTTGTTGTAAGGTGTGAGAGGAGGTTACTGGTGAATATTTACCTCCCTTGTGTTTCCCCACCGGAACCTTCTTAACCGAAGGTTGGTTCATTCTTTTTTTTCACTCTCAGCCCAACCATTAGTAAAATGGAAAGGAAAAGAAGAAGAAGAATGAGCCTTCAGTCACAGCATGATACTTCTGTCTGACCATTGATTTGTGGATGTGTGTGTGTTTATAGATAGTTTGTTTTTTTCATATATTGTTGGGCACTTCTCTCTTAGAGGAATAAGCAGTTTCTATTTACTAAATATTGCAGGATATGTCGCATAGCACTCAGACAATGTTTAAGACACTTGAGAACAAGCATAAGCCCTTGGTTTGCAAGGAGCTGAGCAAGGTGTGGGACAGATATGATCCCAATCTACCATGGGAAAGAGGGGATTATGATGAATCAAATACTTTACTAGTGGATGATTCTCCCTACAAGGCCTTGCTAAATCCGGTAAGCTTTACACCACCTTCTTTTTGGTTCCAAGACTACCCCTAAATGACCCCTTCTGATTTGGTATTTCTTTTTGTGATTGTAACTACATTATGCACGACCTTTTTCCTCAGGTGCACACTGCAATATTTCCTCATTCCTACAACTTCAAGGCCAAGAATGATAATTCACTAGGTGAGACCCCTTTGTCTGGTACTGCTTAATATTTGTATACTGTTGTTTTCCCTTTTTTCTTAAAAAAAAAAAGAAAATAAAATTTAAGCCATCACCCAAGCTGTGATCCTTAAGGTGTTGGGGGTTTGACTTGATACCTACCACGTAAATTAATCAGCAAAAGAGTACAAATAGAAAGAACAAAAAGAGCGGGAGAGGGTGGGGGTGGGGTGGGGGGCAAGAATCTTTTCTATGCACATGAGACTCTATAGCAATTTTATATATCAAGTCATCTATCGTACCCTGAATTCAGTTAGCTTACAAATTTTTTAGCTTTGTCATACCTCAGTCTAATGTTGGGCGTTTAACCCTTGTCTAACTGAAAAGGCCCTTATGTGTTAGGTAGACTTTGGAAGGTATAGTAGTATGATCTGTTTCCCGTGATTGCAGCTCGTTTAGTCAATAGGTCTGCCACAAGATTGGCTTCTCTAAAGCAGCAAGTTATTTGCACTTCAGCTTGGTCCACAATCTTGTGGAGTTTATAACCTGCTTCAACTTGAGGTTGTTTGTATTGCCTGTTCTCAGCATCTTGGTCACTAATTCTGAGTTCAGTTCAACCAAATATTGTTATATCCCTGCTGTACACACCAGTTGATTCCCTCCTATTCTGCAAAAGCTTCTGCAAAGTTGTTGCTGCTTAAGTTGCTCGGACTCTCCAAAAATGTTGCCGCATCCATGCCGGATCCTAAAAAATGCACTACTTTTGAAGGGTCCAACAAGCACCCGATGACATTTATGAAGAGTCCGAGCAACATAGGTTGCTGCTACACTGCAAAGAAAGAGAGAAAGCCATAATTAGATAACCATCCGTCCTAGACTTGGTGGACAGAGTTACTTGGTACCTGTTGCTGGTGGGAGGTGACAGGTATCCCGTGGAATTAGTCGAGGTGCGCGAAAGCTGGCCCGTACACCACGGTCATCAAAAAAAAAATTATAGTTCCTAACTACTACAATACCTGCTTTGCCTGTGGCTTGAAAGAAGCTACCATCTGTAATAATTTTAACACAGCCAGGACTTGGTTGACATAAAAGCCTTCCAATTCACAGTTGGCCTCGACTTTTCCACTTCCTCACAGCTTCTAGGTCAAGTCCAAGTTAACTTGTATTTGGGATAGGCCTTGTTCATAGCTGCCTGCTTGAATGATCCTGTCGATCTGTATCTCATATTGGTGTGATTAAACTTCTTGTCTCCAAATTTGATAGCACACCAACTCCTCCATATCTCCCAACAAACTATAATTGGTGTAATCTGCACTTTCATGTTTAATGTGACCCTTTTAGTGGTTATTAGAACTGATTCCTACCATCTGACTAGTGTGAACGGCAGTGGGCTTAGACACTCTTGCTGCTTGATTGCCTTCCTTAAAGATGTTAGATGTGATGCAACATGCAAAGTTAGATTAACATACATGGATTATGCAAACATCAATATTTATTAAGCAGGGGTGGCTTAATGGAATTTGTTCCAATACTTCAAGCCTCATGGACACTTTTTGCTACTGATGATTATTGAGTCGAGCTTTTCTTGGAAATCTCTAATTTATGTTGTGCTATAAAATGATGTATATTATGATGATTGAAAAGTTGCACCATATTGTAGGCCCTGGAGGTGATCTGCGAACTTATTTGGAAGAGTTATTAAAAGCGGAACATGTACAGAAATATGTAGAGCAACATCCATTTGGTCAGCGGGCAATTGATCAGACAAACTCAGACTGGAGTTTCTACTCTGATGTTCTTTGTAGTCTGCTTGGTCCGCGAACAATTGATCAGACAAGCTCAGAAGAGTTATTAAAAGCTTAAATTCTTGGTCTGCACTAATATAAATTATATGTGATAGAGACTTGCTGCTAACGTCTTGGGATGATCTCGTTTGTGGAGCTGAGACTTGGTTTCACATTTTTGGGAATTTAAAGCAGATGACTGGTCTGAGATGTGTAACAATCACGACAAATGTGGACTGCTGCAGCTAGAATCTTTTTTGAGCTCATACGCGGTCTTATCCTTAAAAGGGTCTTCGTTAATTGTTTTGACATGTTATCTTGTAACATTATCCAGTTAACTTATTTCCTCTCCCTCTTTAGTTTTTTTTGGGGGGAAATTGTTTTTGTAGCCTATACTGTTGTTCCTCCTGTTGAATTTGTAATATTATATGCTTTTTTTCATGACAATACTGTCTATTTTGTGGCAATGGTGATTTTGTAGCTTCAGATGGGAGAATGAATGCATTTATACATTTTGTGGCTCCCTGCTCTCTAACTTGGGTGGTGTTGCACCCCTATCAGGCAAGGGAGGTTGGCCTCTATCCCAAGTCACCTCGTGGTACGTATGAGCCATCTTAAACAAGTGAGATTTCAACAAATCAATAACACAGGCTGCACGAAAGTGATACAAAAGAGAGGAATTCTTAAAAGATACCCTATACAGAGCTGCAAAATTGAGTTTAAGTCCCAAAAGTGGACCAAAAATATACAGATTTGTCTCAAATAAAAAACACTAGTCATTAGCTATAAACAGAAGGAGAAAGGGTTTTGACGGTTTCATCGTGTCCTGTTGAGTATAATTGATTTGCTTATGTGGTTTGTGTATGGGGTTCTGAACGAATTTCGAGTATTCTTTCGGAGTTTGATAGTTGGCTGATTTTTCTTTTGCTGTTCTGGTGCACCCTCCGCGTTGGCTGATTTTTCTTCTGCTGTGTTCTGGACTTCTGGTGCACCTTCCGCTAACGTGGAGGAGAGGGGGTGAGGACCCCACCCCAATTATAAATTTATAATCACATATATTCATATTGAACAACTTTCACATTTAGCAAACATAAAAATCATATTATGTAGTAATGGAAAAACTCACAATAATACTAGTCCATAACACAAACAATTGTAGATCCCTAAATTTCCTAACCCTCCATAAGGACAATATAAGTATAGAACAAACAAACCTAGTTGCAAGAAAATCTTAGAATTGAATTGGTGGGGTGTGCCAGGTCTAGGCTGTAGTGTAGTACCAAGAAGACACTTGAGAGTTCCGATAGCAAGCTACCATAATGAACTCCCCCCTCAAAAAATTGAGTTAATATCGTGTGGATCGATGACCCACGCATATCAGATATTAAACTGATAAGAACAGATACTACACTTGATCTTAGCCAAAAGGCCGAGAAAGGTATGCTTTACTTTGTGCTCAGCCTTGGCCTTTATTTGCAGCTCATTTTCTTCTTCCTAATGTACCAGCGATATGGTATCACTCGTTAAAGCGATATGGGATACTTTCAATAATTTCCATTTCCTCCAACTAATTAGAATGAAGCTTTTTTTGTTAAGATTATACAAAAATTTGAGGATTTTCATAGTATATAGTTTTTTTGTTTTATTTTTACACTTTCATTGAATTTTTGCTTGTGATAATAGGCTATTTATCCTTTTTATCGTATTATCAATTAGTGATTATCAAGAAATTTACCTGAAATTACATAATATATAATCTGATTGTATAAATACTTTTTACTAAATTCAAAAACTAATGATATTGCGAATGAAGGTGTCTCAGTGTGACTAGACCTATAGGGTATGTAGAAGCAGCCACTTGTATTATGGTAGACTGTCTGCGTCACATCCCTTAGAATATACGGATCCTTTCTCAAAACTTGCTAACACAGAATGCTTTGTGCCCAATTATATTGCTTATGGTCTCTACAAGACTACAACACAACGGGTTCAAAGTCATCTCATATCTCAAACTCAAGAACTAAGCTACAAGTAATTTTAATCGACATTTTCTTCTTCTAATTTGTCATCTCATCATTTTCATGGACCACAAAACTATATTTTCATCTGTTTCCACTTTGAGATTAAAGTCCTAACATTACTATATCAATCTTCAGTGTTCACGTCGTTTCATTTAAATTCATCTCAATTAAATAATTTCAGTAAGAATTAGTCTTTTTCAAATATATGAATCTCCAACAAAACTAAAAAGACCCCTCTAAAATAAATGTAGCAACACTATGCTCCATTCACTATGTCAACAAGTCTCACAAACTTTCATGTGTAACAAAACAAACTTTCATTTCATTTTCTTGCATACTATGCAACAAAGTACACGATTAAAATTAATTAAATACCATAATATTCATACATAGGAACACATAAAGATCCAGTTTAATTTAATTTTTTTGTAAAAATGAAAAGAGAAAACAAAACAAGGTTCTTCAATTCACTCAAAATGATGATATAACCCAAGTTAGGGGACAAATAGGACTTAGTGACTCTCCCATATAAAAAAGCTTCTATCTTTCCATCGTTAAAATTGTACGCGCCCATGTATCTTCCACCTACACCTCCACCTCCACCTTCATTAGAAGGCAATTGAGGTCAACATAAGTCCAATTGAGGTCTCCAGGTCGCCAAAAAGCTACATACTTGATTGCTCTATTATTATAAATGGTGAGCATATAATTTGATGTAACAAAAGGATTAGCATATAAAACAGCTCTAGTCACGTACTAATAAAGCATTCAATTTATTTAGAGAATTATTCCCTCCGTCTAACAATAGTTGTCCACTATACTATTTTGGAATGTCTAACAATACTTGTCTGTTTATGAAACCAATGGATAATTTTACACTTACTTCTCAATTTACCCCTATCATTAATTATAATTTATAATCATTTCTTTATTACATTTTTCAAGACATTATATTTATTATATTCAAAAAGTAATATATTAAAATTACCCTTATATTTATAGTTTCTTAAGAAGTGTGCAAAACCAATAGTGGACAAATATTGTTGGACAAAGGGATTAATGTTTTTGAAAAAGGTGGAACCTGAGTAAATTGATTTTGGAATTTTATAAATTAATAGGGGTAAAATGGAAAATTCACTATGTTAATTATTATTTTCTTAATATGTATGTCAAGTAAAAAATGGACAAGTAAATAGGGACAAAAGGAGTACGTAATTACACTACGAAATATAATTTCTAAAAATTCCTACAAGAATTAATTAAAAAAAAATCTTTTTCCTTCTAATTAATTACAAAAATCTCTTTTTTCATTCTCGCTCTTACGTCGGAATACATCACTCCATCTACCATTTGAATTAATTACAAAAGTTTTTTTCCCTTCTCTCTCTCTTACATATGGATAGATCACTCCACCTACCATATTTTGAATTAATTACAAAAATCTTTTTTTTCCTTCTCTCTCTTAACATTCAGATACATCACTCTCATCTACCAGATACATTACAACTTTGTTTGTATACAATTGATGTATCTGGTACAAATGTTATTGTCGATACATAACTCCAGTTATTTCAAACCTAAATTAGTATGAGTCTGTTGGTGTTTATGCATTTTAAAATTGAAATTAAAATATTAAGTGCATATGTTAGTGGGTATATGTTGACAAGAATGTAGTCATTATAGTGGTGTAACTTTTGTAATCACTATTGTCATGATCTACCACTAATTTTACTCATTATTCTACCTCATTATACCTTGTAACTCATAAAACCTTTAGGCTATTCATTTACCCAATTTATCACCCAGTATCTTCTTATTCATTGTAAGGAAGAATTTCTCACCTATAAATAGTGATGTCTTCCTTTGGATTGGAAATAACAAGAGATGGAAAAATATGTTAAAAAAGATGAGAAGTGTGGAAAATATTGTAGTATGTAGTGAGGTAAGTATAGTGAAAGAGAGAGTTGAGACAAAGAAAATATTCAAAGTCTTCAACTATATTCACTATACAAAAAAGAATATTTGTATGTTGAAGGAATGTGTTTTAATGTGGAGTTTTGGACTCATCAACTAAATTCTGAGTTGCTTGAATTGTACGAGGTTGTTGGGTTGTTGTATCTTGGAGGGGACAAGTCAAGAGTGATACTGCTGGATCAGTGTAGATTATGTCGCAGTAGGCTTGAATCTCCTTAAAGAGAGCGAGATATATCCACGCCCCAACCTAAAGATTTATTTATTCATTTTGTCATTTTATTTTCAACTGTAATTTATCGTATTTGTGGTATATTACACCAACAAAATCTGTTTTATAGTTATGTATCTGATACATTACATTACAACTTGTTTGTATACAATGTATCTAGTACAAATGTTATTGTTGATACATAACCCTAATTATTTCAAACATAAATCACTATGAATTTGATTTATAGTTATGTATCTAATATATAACTTATGTATCATTTGCTAAGTATCGAGCAAGGAGCAATGTATCCACAAGTTCTATAAAATCTAAGATAATTATAATTTGAATTTTTTTTGAAATAGAACATAATTAACACCTAAATTATTGGAATTTTTGTATTTTTACACAAAAATCGATGTCTTTTTCATGGGCCATATGGCCCATATCAAGTCTGCCCAAAGAACGAAAGGTATGCTTTACTAATACGCCAGCGATGTGGTATCACTAGTCAAATGCTTGAACAATTTTATTGTTTTCTGGTTTCTATAATTTCCATTTTCTCCAACTAATTAGAATGAACCTTTTGTTGAGCTTATACAAAAAAAAATTAAGGATTTTGATAGTGTAAAGTGTATTTTTCAACACTATCATTGAATTTTAACTTTTGCGATATATAGTAGACTACTAATCATTTTTATCGGATTATCTATTAATGGTTATCAAGAAATTACCTAATACAACATAATAAATTATCTAATTGTGTAAATACTTTTCACTAAATTGAAAATATATTGATACTGCTAATGAAGTTGTCTCAATGTGACTTAAATATAGACCTATAGGTATATAGAAATAATCATTAATACTCACATTAAAGTAGATTATCTACGTCACACTCCTTGGTGTATGGTCTTTCTTCAAAACCTGCTGACATGGAATGTTTTTTGTCGAATGATGACCTACTTTTTTTCTCTCCCATCCTATATAATTGGTATTTACATTTAACTAATTTAAATTCTTTGCAGAGAAATTAATAAAGACGAATACGTATCATGAGAACACGAACTCTTAATCAACCACTTCACCATTACCCTTGTTGGCATAATGACATGCTTTGATTATATGTAGACAGTATCTTTATAAGAACCAAACAAGAAAAAGAAAAAAATGAAATGTGCAAATAAGAAAAGGATGCCAATTGTCCAAAAGATCTTGCCACTATATATAGTATATTAATTACCACCCAATAATTAACATTAACTTATCAACCTTGACAAATGATCACAACTTTGGAAGTTTAATTTCCAACAATTATTTAGCCTGTGAATTTCATAATATAGGAAACAAATGTAGCATATATTCTTTTGGATCAAATATTTCAGGTCTAATTATGTGGATTGAAAAAATATTGTGATAATCCTGCAGGTGGATACACAAGAACTTGTGAACTTAATGGCATATTATAAATTGTTGAAGGCAAGGCCGCCATAACATTGAAGTTTTGAATTTCTTCGTATTCATGTTGTACTGCTACTCCATGATGACTTCCGGAATGAACTAGAGACGTTACAAGAAAAAAAAGGCTTTATTAGTGATCAACATTTAGTGACGAGTTAAAACCCTGGATATCGACCCTAAGAACACACTTAATTACAAGAACAAGATTTATTTTTTGTTCCCTAATTCTTGTTGTTCATAAATTCATATGAAGAATCCCATTTCAAGAAAATAATAACGATATCATTTGTTTGAACATATAATATAAATAACATGGTTATAGTCGAGACCGTCTCAATCATAAGACCACTAAAACAATTGTTTGGGCTCCCAAATTATTTAATGTGGAGGTTGTTGTAATAATTGAGAAATAGAATAGTTAGTTAATTAATAGCATCTTTTCTTACACAACACTTATTTTGTTGACATAATTATATCTTGACGATTATCATAAACCCACATTATTATTCTAGCATTCACCTTTTTAATTCCTTTTTATATTTTTATCTCTCATTATTGAATATTTTAAAGTCTACAACCGTAAAACATTTTGCATTATGTAAAATATATTGTTGTGTGTTTATAAAATTAAAAGATCAATTTTTTTTGGGTGTGTTCTTTAAATTTCAAGCATTACAACAAATCAATACTATTTTAATATTATTATTACATCACTTATCAAATCCAACGCAACTATTTCAATATCATTATATAAACTTTTTAATATTTTGAGTCAAATTTTATTATTCTAACTTTTCATTATTTCATTGATCTTGTGGCCTAAACATGTCATGTGGAAAGTCGAAGTTAAAGTATTGCCAAAAAAGGAAAGGGATCATTCTTTTTGAAACAAACTAAAAAAGAAACTAAGTCATTCTTTTTGAAATAAAGGGAGTAACATCTTTTCTTACGCGACACTTATTTTGTTGACTTATTTAAATCTTGACGATTATCATAAACCCACATTATTATTCTAGCATTTACCTTTTTAATTCTTTTTTCTATTTTTATTCTCTCATTATCGAATATTCTAAAGTCTACCAAACCGTAAAACATTTTGCATTATCTAAAATATATTGTTATGTGTTTATAAAAAGATCAAAAAAAAATTTGGATGTACTCTTTAAATTTCAAGCACTACAACAAATCAATACTATTTTAATATTATTATTCTATCAACTTATCAAATCCAGCGTAACTATTTCAATATCATTATATAAACTTTTTAATGTTTTGAGTCAAATTTTATTATTCTAACTTTATATTATTTCATTGAAAAATTCATTGTTTGCATTCTTACTTCATAAGGTTTGCATACATTCTACCTTCCTCAGACTTCACTTGTAGGTTACATTAAGTATGTTATAGCTATTCAATTTATCTACCATAACTTGTAAAAAAGAAATTAAAGCTTGTTTATGAAATTTGGGTTTAGATCCCCCAAACTTGTTAAGACAACCATGATTATAGTAGTGTTATGATAAATATTGTTATAGAGAGGTCTGATCATTTATAATACAACATTAATATTTGAAAATACCTGATTGAGAGGAGTGATTATTCTGATAAAGACCAAAACTGAAGCTGTTGCTATTGTTATTGTTATTGCTATTGTCCTTTAGGTCAAGATTTCGCGCATCTAGTTTCACTGTATCCTCATCAGACACCACCATCGTCTCCTTCCTCAGACCGGTCAGAGGCAACCCGGTCTGATCCCTTATTGGAGGCATTTGAAGTGGAGGTAATTGGTCGATTTCATGCTTAGCTTCATTAAGCAACCAATCAACAACTTTGCTTGGTTGATCTAGCCCTAATTTGTCTTGAAGATCATATAGTTGAAGGGCTGTGGGAACGGAGAGCCTAACTCTCCGATCCCTCACCCCTTTCACCGTAAGAACTTTGCTGTGACGATCTTTTCCCCCAAATGCTCGTGACACGCGAACGATCCTTGGATCTTTAAAACTTGTCCATGATGATTTTTTTGGAATCTTATTATCACTTGTATCTACTTCTCTAGTAATCATCTTTTGTATCATTCATTGTTTTTTTCAGTGATTTTCTTGCAATTTTCTGTTTGATGGTTGTGTGTATATATCACAGTATGTCTAAATTCCCTGCTGCTCATAATTAAAAAGCAAAAAATAATTAGGTTGAGATCAAAAAGTGGAATTTAAAACTAATTAGGTAATGAAAATAGCAAGCATTATACTTAAAAGAGTGATATTAAACTTGAAGAAATGATACAATTAGTTAAATGGAAGAAAAACCTACATATTATAAACTGATGTGCCCTAGCTAGCATATATAAATAAAATATAACTATGAGAGAGACTTACGTAGTTTAAGTTCAATAATCCTCCCTTTTTGGTATGAACAAAGGGTTGTGTGAAGGTTTCAAAAGAGGAAATTCACTTTTTATAGAATATAAGTAATTGAAAGAACGTTCAACTTGAGAGAAGAAGATGCTTCACTCCAACCCAACAACTTGTTATATATATATAACAAGCAATGGTTTATAAAGTGACACGTGTCTTTCACATCTCATTAGCTTATTATGGAGCTGATTTTTTGTAGAGTCATTTAATGGTCAAACCTCTCTAAATTAACACTCTCTATTTAATCGATGACTTAATATTTATTAATTTAAAGAGTATTTTTGAGATCTAATGAAGGTTAATTTAGTTACATCATTCGGAAAATGAAACCTCAAGAAATTTAAATGAACCCTCTTGTGAAAATGATATTTATAAATTTGAAGTCACGATTAATAATCTCAATTACCGCAATAAAATGAATATCAATAGTATGTTAGATTATCCAAGTGAAAATAATACATATTATAAGTTCAAAGCTTAGAAGAAATTGTGGATACTATAAGAGAAAATAATGTTGATGATGAAGTTGTTAAGTAAAAATGTTCGTCTTACGCTCTCATCTTTTATACACAGTTAATAAGCAATACTTTATTTGATTTAATTTATGTGACAATTTTTTAATTTTTAGAAATTTAAAGAATATAAACTTTATTATCAAATTTTATTATTATCATCCTCAGGAAAAAAAAATTAGTTGAAACAAATCATAAATATTTATACACGTAGTTATAGATTATATCATTGAATAAAAAAATAATAATAGAAAAAGATTATATCATTAAAAAAAAATTAAATGTATTTTCAAATATTGAAAGATATTACTATTTCTTTTGAGATAAATCAAAAACAAAAAAGTGTATCGATTCAACAAAAAGAAACCAAAAGTTCACAAAGATAAAGTCCACAAACGTAACTAAGTTTTGGTCTTTCCTTTACTCAAAAGAGAGTTTATATAACCCTTCACTACAGAGAGGACCACTCTTTCGCAGAGAGATTTTGCATAGAATCAGAAACGGAACTAGGTGGGTTTATGGGTTCGAACGAATTCAGTAGTTTTTTCGTAGACTCTATATTTGTATTAGAAAAATTAAATTTTTTTATGTATAATAACTTGTGAACCCCAAAATAAATTGATTTAGAACCCCCAAACTTCTAATCTTGGCTCCGCCTCTGTCACGGATCACAACATAAATATAAAGAGATATAATGCGAAGGATATTTTTAGACTTTTTAGTTTTCACTTTGTTTCCAAATAGTTTATCATTTTATTTGAAATCAGAGTTTGATTGTAAACTAATAACTCGACTCAAGCTTCTGAAATTCTAAATAACAGAATAAACAAAGTTATTTTATAAATTAGGATAATTTATTCTATTATTATAATGTAAATAATGAAACAGATAACCTCAAAATTAATAATCTTTTAAAATAATTATCAGCGCCGAACGCGTCGAATAGATTGGAATATATTGATCGATAAGGTAAAAAATGTGCACAAAATCAGTGTAGGTAATAAGTGAGATTCCCATTACTAAATCTTTCTGCAGTCCCACTGTCCACAGCCGCAATTCCCACCGACCCATGATCATGATATTTATTACTGAATTCCGTGTACAAACTTTCCTTTTCATTTTCCTCCTTTTCTTCTGAAGTTAGTTAATTGTAGTTTTTTATTTTTAAAAAACGTAATTTTATTTATCAAGATTGTGAGTATAAATCTGTTGATTCTTCGAAGACCGTTAATAATATTTTCTCGAACTAAAATAATTTGAATTCAATTTTTTTATAAATATTTCATAAATTTATAAAATATTCGAGATAATTACATGTAGTTCAAACATCTACTTACCTTTTCATATAAGTGGGGGGGGGGGGGGGGGGGGGGGGGGGGGGGGGGGGGGGGGGGGGGGGGGGGGGGGGGGGGGGGGGGGGGGGGGGGGGGGGGGGGGGGGGGGGGGGGGGGGGGGGGGGGGGGGGGGGGGGGGGGGGGGGGGGGGGGGGGGGGGGGGGGGGGGGGGGGGGGGGGGGGGGGGGGGGGGGGGGGGGGGGGGGGGGGGGGGGGGGGGGGGGGGGGGGGGGAAGAGAAGAATAACTCTTGGCCCCAAACGTGAAAGCATATATCGGGAGATTGTGCCTAATTAAAGTGATGGGAAGATGTACGGTATATATGATAAGGACCATGACTATGCTTTTTTTGAATTAAGTTTTTTTGCACTACAGATGTGAAATATAGATTAATTTTTTTTTTTTTTATAATAAAATCATTTATTCAAATATTTTTTAATTGCTACTAGGAATAACTGTTACAACAACAAAATATATATAATCAAGGAAATCAAAAAACATAAATTTAAAATCTCAAAGACATTTGTATTTTATTAACTAAAAGTTAAATAACGAATAAATCCATACTATACTGTATCTACAGCGAATTAATAAACTCCTTGAAGCAAATACGTAATTTAAATTGAATTAATGAAAACTAAAATCTCGATTCTAAATTTCTTTGGAGTTGTTGTTTTACGAGTCACTTTGATGTGTAATATATTACTATTTTAAATATATACAGGTAACAATTCATGATAAATAAATAAAAATAAAGACTTGTGAAACATATATGATTTATGAGTTGGATCATTTTCAAATTGCGTTACATGGAGCATGCGCGACCGCCAAACGAATATACAGACGGCACACATTTATTGGAGAAAAAGAATTGGACTGCGACAAGACACTACAACTTGAGAAGAATTTGATGGATTTCGTACACAGTAAAGTTGACTTTTGAATCTTATCTGATAGAACGTTGAAATTAAAAAACTTACTGAATAGAATAAGACAATATATTCTCTTCTAGCCATAGACAGAATAAAAAGAAAAATAAAACAAAAAGTAGTACATTTTTTAAGTCAGTTGACCGTGTCAAGATAATTTATGATCCATTTTCGTGTATGGATCTTCAAGGAAGTGTTACAAATTCCAACTGGTACATCATTTAGTGCTAGAACCATTAACAGTAGTGTAAATTTCATATATGACATATATTATAGTACTATTTTCAGGTTATAGCAGTAGATTTAGACTTTCAAGTTATAACATTAAAAATTTCAGGTTATAACAAATTCACAAATAAAAGAAATGTTTTTATTAATTTGAAAAAAGTTTTAAAAAAGAAAAGATAAACGAAAATTTTAAAAAAAAACGGAATTATAGATAATAAAGTAAAAAACTGAAAGTGTGGCTTGTAATTTAATTTGAAATTTATTGTAGATAATTAATGATTAGCATGAAATAAGGGATTCAAACAAATTAACAATATTTTTTATCCTTAATTCACTCAAAATCAGTTAAGATAAACTAAAAAAATCAGATCATATCATTTTTTGTATATAATTAATAAATAGCACGAATTAAGGAATTTAAACTAATTAAAATTATTTAGTATCCTTAATTCACTCAAATCAGTTAAAATCAAATAAAAATTCAAATTTTATCTTCTTTTTTTTCAACGTTTCTCTCTCTTCAATTTGCAACAAAAAAAATCTCTTCAATTTTCAACAAAAAAAAAATCCCACATTCGAGAAATTGAAGCCTTTTTCATCTTTGAAAATTCTTGATTTTGTTGTGAGGGCACTAC